TGTGTGTGTGTGTGTGTGTGTGTGTGTGTGTGTGTGTGTGTGTGTGTGTGTGTGTGTGTGTCGGGGGGGTGGCGTCATTCAAATTTGGTCAAACGCTCCGATCACATCTTCAGATTTCTGACTTTAAAAGCTACATTTTTATTTCTGGATCATTCTGATATCATAAACAGATCCAGAAATGACTTCATTTGACTTGTTGGTTACGATGATACAATAATATTTGGTCTGAATCCTAATTTTATGCCATTTAAAGGGAGGAGTTTTGGATGTCATTATAAAGAGGAAACCTCAAACAGTGTTTGAATATTGAGATTTCCCAGCTGGAAAGAAACAAAAGCTTTGCTAGCTCACAGGGACAGTCTCAACATTGTAGAGTGGTTTTCCTCAAAATCAAGTTTTTTGTTTAAAAATATGCAATTTTTGAAAAAAAAAGGCAATTTGACAAACGTTTTAATCAAATCACTTAATACCCTTCTTTAGACTTGGTCCTTGTTTGGATATGATGGGTCACATACAGGTGCTGACTTGTTGATTCTCACAGTTCTTGCTGCTATATGTTCATATATACAGTTTTAGCTGTAATTGTTCTTTTTTATTTATTTGTTGACATTCTTCTACAGAACATCTTGGCCAAGGCACTGTACGACAACGTGGCAGAGTCCCCAGACGAGCTGTCGTTCCGTAAAGGTGACATCATGACGGTGTTGGAGCGCGACACGCAGGGTCTGGACGGCTGGTGGCTCTGCTCGCTCCACGGCCGCCAAGGCATCGTCCCGGGGAACCGTCTGAAGATCCTGGTGGGCATGTACGACAGCAAGCAGCAACAACCGAGCACACCTTCTACGCAGGACGCACCTGCTACCTGTCCCGCCCCCCAGCTGCAGCGACCGCTTCCCGCTCAGAGCGCCTACGCCACACCCACGCCTGCTGGCTCTGCTTCCTCTCCCGGCTTCCCAAACAAGTCCCTACCTTCAGTCCAGTACACGTCCATGCACCCAGCGTACTCTGCTGCCGGGGCTGCCAAGGCCAGCCCTGACTCTGTTTACATGATGCCCCCCTCCCACGGCCCAAAGCTGAGTTCCCAAAGCCTGTATCAGGTTCCCTCTGGTCCAAGCGGATCGTCTGTTCAACCCGGACCGCCTAGCAAGGCCCCCATTCTGGGCCAGAGACAATTCCAGCCGCCTGGACATGATATCTACCAGGTACCCCCCTCTGCAGGTCCTTCTTTAGGCCAAGCAGCAGCTTCAGGTGGGGGTGCGGCACCTGGCCAGGACGTGTACCAGGTGCCCCCCTCCCTGGATAAAAGGAACTGGGAGAGCAGTAACAAGTCCCACGGCAAGGTAAGAGAAGAGAATTAAACTTTGTTTTACCTGTGTTCAACAAATAAGAATCATTTTCTGAATATTTCTTCCTGAGTTCAGAGTGTTTGGTGTCAGAGCAACACTGTAACTGAAAGTGTTGGAAGTCAATCAGCTCTGCTCTGTCAACACCGGTGTTAGAGCACAGGTTCTGGTGTGAGAGGATCTGTGTTTAAACTGGATCTGATGAGACTTCAGCTGACTGAATGATGTCCATCACAAACCCTGCTGGCTTTAGGCTTCAGCTCTTGGCAGTGAAGCAGTTCAATTTTTCTTTTGGATTAATTTTAAAATTGTGCAAAACCTGAAAACACAACTTTCATTGTAGGGAAATTCCTCTTGTGTTTTAAAAAAATTAGACTTTAAATTTGAGCTGCCACAAACGATTATTTTTATAATCGATTAATCACCGATTATTATTTTTGATTAGTCGACTAATCAGATCATACGTTAATTGAATATAAAACATACAGCTCATCATGCCAGAATGCAGCTGCTATTATATAACCATCGTTCGATTTTAGCTATATGCTAACTAAAAATAACTGATGTGGAAGGTAAGTTCTGCTCTGCAGATATTACACAGGTTTCTCTTTCATTTTCTTAAAATGATCCCACACTTTGAGCTCTGTTGTCAGGTAGCCATGATACCAGAGCCTGTCTGTATAATGGCTGTGTCTCAATTCATGGGCTGGGTCCTCATGAGGAC